AATGGGCGGTATAAAAATAAAATGTATTATTATTATTAGAATTGAAGGCAACAAGAGAAAAAAGTTTATTATACATCAATACCTACAAACTGAGATTCAGTTCCTCTGAAAAAAGAAAACAGTGATTCCAATGGTGATAAGTTCCAAAGAGACTGACAAGATATCTGAATGAAATTGCCATGGATAGTATCACAATAGCATCATTATAAATAGTGAAACTCTATGGAGCATATCATATTCAATGAGTTTGCACTGATTCCTTGATTCTTGAACACTGATGGTTCAGAATTCTAGGCAGAAACATATGGCAAATGATGAAACCAAGATAATGTGTTGTAATTATTAATCAGTATATAGCAAAGTAAACTCATATGGAGAATTAACTTAAAGGCAATAAGAGATTACCTTGTCAATACCATTGGGACTCCTCTAAGAAACCTGAGTATCTGCCTGAGTAAGATAGTAAAAAAATGCCTTTGCAGAGCTTGTTCCAGTTACAAACCTCACATCCTTTCTAGGCATTTGTATAACAAAGGGCTTCAGTATAGGGAGGGAAATAAATATTTACTTGATTTATCTTTGTGCTGTAAACAGGAACATTTCATCCCTCCTCCCCGATGATAGTCATTGTGAGATAATTTCTTTTTTCTAGACTAAGAGAAAAATTGTGCATTTTTCATGAGTAATTTTTATGCATTTCTATAAAAAAAAATAACAATATCAGAAAATGCAGTTAACTCTTGCCTTGTCCCATGAATTGGTAAAAGTGGTTTGGGTGGTTGTTTTTATGTCTATGGTAAAATAATTAACCTGCTGTTTTGTACTTGCTCTGTGATTGCATGCATAAATGTGTGTCTGTGCTGTGCCTGTACACATGCCCATATCCTTAGCTTCACAAAGGAAAATGTGCAAGTATTGCATCAAAACAGGAGTTTAAAAGAAATTATATTTTATGAAAGGTTGTGTAAACCATGATAGCGAAAACCATACTAGGATCTCATCTGCACTGCAGAAATAATGTAGTTTCACATCGCTTTAACTGTGCTGGCTCAGTGTTATGGAATCCTGAGATTTATAATTTATTGTGGCACCAGAACTCTCTGACAGGGAAAGCTAAATATCTCACTAAAGCACAAATCCCAGAATTTCATAGCACTGAGCCCTGTAAATTAAAGTGATGTCAAACTTCATTATTTCTTCAGTGCAGATGAGGCCTTGGTGTCATGGCAGAGACGGGGGGGGGGGGGGGGGGGGCTGCAGATGAGCAGCTCTGGGCTGCTCCTGCTAGCCACGAATCGGGGCCATGGCTACCGCACACCGCGGCCCCGATCCTCCTTTTGCTGCCCCTGAAAGAGTGGCAAAATGCCGCTCCTTTCAGGGGTGGCAAAAGGGTGTCCTAAGAGCTGGCACACAGCTCTTTAGTGCCCCTTCCAGTGCAGTGTGTAAAAATTCTGCACTGGGAGGATGTCCTGACACCGTGTGCTGTGCATAACAGTGTGTGGCATCAGGACATCATCAGGCTGGGGTTGGGGCGGCTGGCTTACGGCTGCCCCTCCCCCTCTCTGCCTCCAGGCCAGCCCTTTGGGCCAGTCTGTAGAGGCCTTCTGATGGGGGTTGACAAGTGGTCACAATGCAGTGTTGTTGCTCCAAATCATGTGTTATTCCTACCTCAATATAACTTCTCAGTGAGCAGGTAAACAGCATTCTGTGCAATCATGCTGGCCACATGATCACAGAGTAGTCTCTAACAATGCTGGCCCTTCAGCTTAGTAATGGAGATGAGCACCGCCCCCTATGGTCAGACACGCCTTGAAAACCTTGTCAATGGGGAATACCTTTACCTTTACCTTTATTTATTTGTACCCCGTTCCCCCAAAAAACTGGGAGTCAAAGTGGCTTACAGTCTAAAAACACAGTACAATTAAAATCTTACAAAAATTAAAATAGACTTACATTTTTACAATATTAAAACAGATCATTTGTTTAAAAATAGAATACAATTAAAAAAGATAAAAGCACTTAAAGACCACACACTTTGAAACAATACAACAGCTCCATGAAGTTCTTTAAAAAAAACTTTCTGTTTTAAATAGCTGTCTGAACAGGAAGGTCTTAGTCTACTGGTGGAAGGACAACAAGGAAATGAGTCTAGAGGCAGCCTCCAAGAAGGCCCTTTCTTGCGTCTCCACCAACCCTGCTTGTGATGATGGTGGGATTAAGAGGAGGACCTCTCCTGAAGATCTCAGAGGCTGTGCCGATCCATACAGGGAAATATGGTCTGTCAAATATCCTGGACCTGAGCCATATAGGGTTTTCTAGGTCATAGCCAGCACTTTGAATTTTGCCCAGAAACAAACTGGCAGCCAGTGTTGTTGTTTCAACAGGGGCATTGTGTGGTCTCTGTAACCTGTCCTAGTTAACATCCTGGCTGCAGCTCTACCAGCTGAAATTTCTTGATCAGCTGATGTCTCCTATGGGAGCTCATTGCCTTCACTGCTGATGCAAAATCTCTATGGAATGTTTGGTTTTAAAAAAGGTTGTCAATGTTTGAGGGGAAGTAACAGTGTCCACTCTTGACATTGGTGTCACGTACATCTCATCTCTCCAAGTGCTGAGAAGGGCCGGGATATAAATATTGGGTTTAGACATTTATGGTATTTCTGTAATACCTGTTTTATAGATTGTTTTATTTATTTATTGTGGGCATTCAACTTTTTATGATCAAGATTTAAAACAACACAACTAGTCATCAGAATAACACCACAGAAACCATCTAAGGCAGGGGTAGGCAACCTTTCTCCTTTAAGGGCTGAGGGACTTCAGCTCCCAGAAGCCTCAGCCATGTTGGCCAGTAGCTCCTAGGATTCTGGGAGCAGAAGTCCCTTGGCCCTTAAAGGGGAAAGGTTGCCTACCCCTGATCTAAGGCCTGAACAGACTGCCAGAAATAATCCATCTTAAGGCCCCTTTAACTGCCTTGGCCCAGTGCTAGAGAATCATGGGAACAGTTTCTCAGTTGCCGCCCCTAGACTCTGGAATGACCTGCCGGACGAGATCCGTCTGTTGACATCGTTAGACAACTTCAAGAGGGCTGTCAAGATGGATCTCTTCCGGCAGGCCTTTCCAGATTAAATCATCCCGGCCTCGGGTACTCCCACCCCAGTGATCCTTACGTGGCCCCATCTAAGGATGGCGAGGATTACTGCCGTGGGTTTTATTATTGGGTTTTAATTGTTTTGTTGATTGTGGATTTTAAATTTTGCAGATTTAATACTGTTTTAAGGGGGGAGGGTTGGATTGGGTTATTGTATTGTTTTTATTGTTGTAAGCCGCCCTGATTGGGCCTCCAAAGGGTGGGATATAAATAAATTTTATTATTATTATTATTTATTATCTCTGATGGAGGCTCAATGTCTCAGAAAAAACTACAACTCTCATGGTTCCCTAGCATTGAGCCAGGGCAGTTAAAGGGGTGTCAAACTGGATTATTTCTGACAGTCTATTCAGGCCCTCTGAATCAAAAATTGACCCCCTCCCTCCAAACCACATTGTTGCATTACAGTTGTTCTGTGAAGAACATTGTTAAAGATAAGACCTGAAATCCTATTTGACCTGTTATGTATTTTTTTATATACTTAACTATATATCAGAAGAGTGCTTGATGCACATTGGGACTGATGCGATCTGCATCATGACAGATGCAATGTGCATAACATTGGACCTTATCACACGCGGCCCACAAAGCGATAACAAAGTGAAATAAGAATAAATCCAGTAATAAACCAGACGAAACCCCACAATACGCAAATGGCTATCACACACACTTACTTTCATCATGCTTTTAAGGAAAGCGCTCCTGGGAACCGTATTTGCCATTCACACACA